AGCTCCATTTTCTGCCTTTAAAAGCACACACAACCCACAATTCCTCTATTCGCTCCGACGAAGGGCTAACGCTCGAAATGTCAGCTTTTTTAATCGTTACGGTGGCCAATTTACCATTTCAACTTCGTTGATATATCCAAATTATTAAGTTTAAATTTAGTGCGTTACATGACGCTCATGGCCTGCATCACGTGAACAAATAAAATGTATTTCATCGGTTTTGGGAAGATATAATTGCCTTAGAGGTTTTTTTAAGGGCTATCCAACTGCACCGTCAGTGATTTAATCACGAAAAAGAATACTTACTCTAGAATGGTTACTTTTTCGCACAAAGCAGTAGCCACTGAAAACATCTTGAAAGTTATCCTGGAGCCTGGGAAGAGCTCCAGCACCTGAAATAAAGAAACAAAATGGTACAAATCAACGGTTTCTTGATCAGCCGAACGAGGTTATTGATTGTATTCCATAAAACTATGAATTACTTATTATTGTGAAAAAAAAAGTTAGAAAAAGTAGGGAACGTTTGACAAAAAGTTACTTTTATTATAGCAGCATTCGGCTACGTACAGAAATAAAAGACACAGGGTGCAGATGTCGGAGAGCATCTGGAGGTCAAAAATACCCGTCTAGTGTATCCTAAGTCATATTTCCCTCAACAGTCTCTTGACATACAACTATTCAGGGATAAATGGTGAGAAAAGGCTTCTGCGAGTGTGTTTTTTTTGTTTATTTGCTTGTTTTCTTCGATGGAAATTTGCCAATTCAACTGTCGATCCTTAATGGTCCCTTCACAATAATAATTGTTAACTGACAGAAGCAATTCTAAATGACCCCTGATAGTTTTTATTCAAATTGAGGTGAAAAGTACCTCGGCTGTTTAAAGTAGAGGCTATCTAATCCACTGGAGTGCACTCAGCGTAGAGCAAAGAGACAAAAAAAAAAAGAACCAGATGGAGAGAATTTTTTACAAAAACTATTTTGACGAACTCCAAATTTTCATCGTGGTAGAAATAAGTTTGAAAAAAACATCCATCTTCGGAAAGAATCACCCGCAAAAAAAACCCTTGCAAAAATTGAATATCTGAAAAGAAAGTATAATACTATTCAAATCTGCTGCGCTGTCTTGCATCTCTTTCGATATATTCGGTTTACGTGTTGTGGCTAACAAAAGTTATTCACTGAGTTAAGAAATCAATTACCAGCTCTGTCTCTCTGTTTTTTGTGTAAATGAACTGTCATTGTGTTTCGTCCTTCTTGTTGGCAAATGCAAATTTTTTCATCACCTGTTGTGAAAAGCTGCTAAAACATATTAAAGACGAGCTTAAGCAATAAAAAATGCCATGGTTACCTTACCTTAACAAAACAATCGCGGCGAACTTTGAATACGCCTCGCAAAAGTGCGAGTGTTAAAGAAAACAAATTTTCTGCGCATGAAGTGAGCTGAATGATTCATAGATTTCCGCAAAATTGGTTCCAATGTTCATTTAGATTGCCCTTGCAATATATGTTACCGTGGTTTGTTGCTGTGCATTATTGTTCTTCTGTGCTACGAGACGCGCACGGCCGCCTTCAATTAACCCTTTTGTTCGGACGTGTCGTGAAGGATAACTACAATTTGCCAAAGCCTTAATTGATATTTCACCGAGTACAACAATAAAACAAAGTTTTGTGTCATTGTTTTCAAGGAAGAAACATTGTTTACTGTGCTGTACATCGAACAGAAAGACACAAAGGATTCGTATTAAATAGGTGAGCTCATCAGCCAAAGACGAAAAAAGGTGGAAAACTATCCTTGCAAGATAGAAAACTGAAGCTTTTAACCAGATAATTTAAAGTTGGAAAGCCAACATCAAATCTGCTAGATGGAAAGCATAAACCCCGACAAGAAGAATGCCTGCTTGAAAGTGGAAGACCGATTTTTCGGCAAGAGAAAACCGTCGATTATTTTGAAGCGAATACACAGAAAGATATCGTTACTGGAAAGCCAGAAAGAATTCGCAAAGGTGCAACAGGAGCGCGCTTCAAGTGCATCACCGTCGACGAGAAATAATGTTTCATCTTTTCAAGAAACAAAAATAGAAGGAATTCGTCGCTCGTTCAAAGAATCAATGAATGAGCCTAAGAAGCAGAGGGCATTAACAGCACCAGGAAACTTATCGACGTCAAGTATAAACTTGGATCCATGGCCAACGAAGGATGAATTCATATGTTTGTTATTTCGAATGATTTGAACATTCTACAAGTAATATCCTGTTTGGAAATAATTGCCATCTCAAATTCTGACCAGTTATTCGCAGAAAACGGTTTGAAACTCGATATCACTCGCAGAAAATGCGTCCAAAATTTTCGAAAGTTTTCATTCCCAAACGAAAGCGAATTTAACGATTCCTTCGAATATATTCAGATATTACGAAAATTTTTGTGGTATTCCTGCTGCGAAAACAAAGTTCCGATCTTTATTAATTAAAAAAAATTCTTTATGAATAATTAAATAGAGAGGGTATTTATAAAACCCCTGTGAAAATGTGAGGGTAGTTATCGAATAATGCAGGAACACGAGATGTTTCCTTTATAATGGTTCACTGACATAGAGTTAAACTGGCATGTATTTATCTTTACTCGTTCGCCACAGATTATCCAGTTTGATGTTTATAATCCTTCCGTATCCAGCAGATATTCATACGATCGAAACTTTGACATATTGTAAATTTTCAACATTGCTGAATTTTTCCTGGGGTTTGTAATGATAAAACAAGAGAGGCTATACAAATTCTGCTCTGATTCTTTTTAAAATTAAAAATAAAAGACACGAATAATGGATATAGGATATTTTTTTTTGCTAATGCTGTGCATTACCTGTAATACGAACATAAGTTGTTTTCTGGACAACCCTGCAATACTTGGCACCCCCTCTAGGGCAAGCATCATTTGCTAAAGCAACAAAAAGTCATAGATTTAATTCTACGAAATGTTGTAAATAAATGATTTTAAATAATATTTGTTTTCATTGTTATCAGGTTTTCCAGTTCCGTGACCTGAACGACCACAAGATATGATCGAAAACTTAAAATTCGTTTAAACACTTTCCATGAAATCCACATAAGCAATTTCACTTTCGCTTGTTTTCTTACAATGTGAACGTAACACAACTTTTCGTTACCTCGTAAGATATCATTCCATCCTCGTCCTCGTCTTCCAGTGTAAACGCGCGGCCGTACATTTCCAATCGACTTCGGTCGACAAGTCGATACTGCGCAATATAATCTATTGTTGAGTCTGAAAAATGAAAGGTATTATCACATAAGCAGACAGATGAAGAATGGTTTGTTTTTAGTTGATGACTCAATCTACGTCAAGTGTAAAGGAACATTTATTTAGGGCATAGAAAGTGTCCCTTGCGTAGGGTAATCCCTCCAATGAAGATACAAAGGTTCCAGCACCCAAGATTGTGCTCCTTGCATTTTGAATGTCCATTTGGGCACCACTCTCCGAGCTAAACAGAGGTTTCTCCTAAACAGAGGTGTTCTTTCGGTGAAAGTGAGAGATGAAAAGTTTAAAGGAGCATTTTTTTTCAGTCGGGATGAAAGTTTGTGCTCGTTCAACCTGGGAACAGGCTACTGAAAATTTAACCATGGACAGTGATTATCTCTTCACTAGGGGCAACAGATACACAAGTCATAGGAGCAGTTTTACAACCGGGACCAAAGTTCTGGGCCCTTTCTCTATATAAACGAGGGTGGGGTGAAAAGAACATGTGCGCACCCTTTCTTGTTCTTATATCAGCTTGTCCCATAACTTCACTGACAGCTTCCCTGATAAACACAAAACGTCTTTTTTGAATGCGAAGAAAAAGTGCAATTGTTAAACAGTAAGAGATCGTATGTTCACTATTTGATTATGTACTTGCTAAAGCATTAACAATAATAGTAATAATAATAATAAATAATAATAATCTTTATTCTCTCAAGATAAAAGTATATATCTCAAGTTACAAAATTATAAAGATAATCCAAGAATCATTGAATATTAAAAAAGATAATCTAAGAATAATTCACTATAACTAGACAAATAATAATCTAAATATTATATCTAAAAACTAGCCTATTTACAAACACATTCTTAAACCTTTCCGAATTTATTCCAGGATGATGGACAGTTCTATTTCTGAGGTTAGACTAAACGTGCGAGTAGACCCTCATTATTGGCGCTGCATGACGCTCGTTTCTCTGCTCTTGAAAATATTTGACACAAGTCGGTGAGAGGCCTGGAGGCCATCTGCCACTAATGACCTTACTAGCGCCAGACCCCTATCAGACCTATCGTAACGCTCGTGTCGCCATGGCCTAAACAAACAACTCATTTCGAAAGGCTTTTCCATTGAAAATCAACCTTTCACTCCCAAGATCTCATTAGTAACTCTCCTCACTATCTGCCATGCAGTTCTTATGATGTAAGTTTGGAGAATTCGGTATTAGATCAACCTAAAATTCCTCAGCTGCAATAACTCAGTGATAGGTTACCATGAGTCCAAATTATTTTCTTACTGGCTTATTGGTATCGATTTGTAATGGTAATGAGGCTATGTAGAGTCCAATTCGTATGTGTAACCAAATGGCGACGAGTGAAATTAGGAAATAATTTCACTTGCAGTTTGTCAAAATTCTGATAACTTCCCGAGCCTTTAGGCGAGAGAAATTATCAGAGTTTTGACAACACGCAAGTGAAATTATTTCCTAATTTCACGAGAAAACCATTTGATTACCTTTTAATATCGTGGGTGACAAATTATGTTTACAAAAGGNTAGTCTTATCGGCAACTACTCATAAAGATTACGATTTCCGGGAAAAGAAGAATAGCCAAGTTATGAAAAAAAGGGGAAGTTTGCATGAAAAGAAACCAAGGTTGCGTTCGGTTAAAGAAATTACAACTTTGAAAGTAATTTGTTGACAACTTTGAAAGTGATTGGCTTAATGAACTGTCCGATAACAAACTTCCCGAAAACAAACTGTCCGATAACAGCTCGGTAAGTGAATTAGTGGAAAATGGGAGTCTTTAAACCAATCACAATCAAGAAAATTGTAATTTTTTTATGATTATGAAGCATAAAGCCACTCTAAACAGACATCACCAGCCCGTCCAGATGGAACTTGTGTTAACCCTGAACTCTTTGTCACCCCTGAATCATACATTACGCTCATGAGAATAAAGGAAATGATCCCCAACTAAAGAAGACTTGATTGTTAAACAAGTTATCTTTGTCAGCACACTCTACAAAGAGGACAGTATGGAGATTATTAACACTGGTGCCGGCTGGAGTTTGAAGGGTAACGCCCTGAAATTATCAACCTCCAACTTCTTCTTAAAATATCGATGCATTGCAGAGTCGACAGGTCATAACTATAGAAAAAAACATCAACTTCAGAATGCTTTCCAGAGATCGCTCGAAATTCCCTTCGGTAATGTATTGGAGGCACCGAGGAGAGATAAATGGTCAAGTCTGGTAATCAAATAATAGCGATATGACTTACTTTAATACGTTTTGCAGTCTTTTACCCAGCTCTGCTCGTTCTTTAAATGCTGCGTTGACACGTGATACACCCCGAACTAAAAAAAGGTATAGGTAAGTATAAAATGGGTCTTCAGAATTTACAATGAAAAATAAACAACGAGAGATGGAGACCAGTGACTACTTGAATACCTGACTATCTGATTAACTGATCGACAAATTTGCCTCCTAACTGTCATTACAGAAATTCAACTTACTTTTTGGAAGAACATTTCTCTTTTCTTTTTCTTTCTGTTTTTCTTCTTCTTTTTCCTCTCCTTTCTCTTTTTCCTTCTCACGTTCCTCATTATTTGCAGGCGGTTCTTCTTCTCCCTTCGACCCAACGTCTTTCCCATCCTCAGTTACGTCATCATTAGAGCCATCCCCCTCAACAGTTTTCTCTTCCATTTGCACCTCCTCACCAGTTCCCTCGTCATTATTTTGTACTAACAGGTCTTCACCAGGCTCAACGGTTTCTACGAGAGGCGTGGGGCTTGTAACCACGGAATCCTCCTCGTTGAAATCTTCACGTCCCGGAGAATGTCCTTGTATGGACATTGGTGGTCTCTTCGTTTCCTTATACACGATAGTCTGAGAAATAACCTTTTTAGATGGTTTAGTTTTCTTGGTGCCTTTGGCAGCGAAGGCAGAGGGTTGAAGCTGAACGGGAACAACTTCACCTGAATTTACTTGAGTGGGCTCAGTAGATTGTGGATGATCATCGCCCTAATGAAAAACGAGAGAAGACTGAGCACTAACCTAATCACTTTTTATGCCATAGCAACTTACCTCAGTTGTTTACATTGATTGATTCAGTCAATAAATGATAAGTTACAATTCAAACTTTTAAAACCATTTACTGTGAAGTTTACAGTAATATAATTGGTTTTAGCTTTGAACACTAGGGGTACTAACATGTTCTTCCTCCTCAACGACTTCTTTTTCCTCCAGCTGCCCATTGTCCTCTTCATCAACGGTCCTGTAGCGTTTCTTTCGCACGCGTTTTACACTGTTGGGATCTTTTGATTTTCTTTCTGGCGGTGCTCTGCAAGATCAAGAAAATAATAATAATAATAATAATAATAATAATAATAATAAACAAAAACCAAACAAAAGAAGAGTAAAATATTTTTAGATTGAACGCTAAGTCGAGTAGTCTCGTCAAATCCAGTTATTAGTTAGTGAAAACATTCTCACCTAATTTTTCTCTCTTTGCTCTTCCTGTATCTCTGAAACAACAACAATGAAAAAAAGCAAAATCAGCCTTTCAGATTCCAGCAAAGTCCTGGCCAAAGCCTTTTCCAGTTTTCAGACCTGTCTGGCTATCCCTACCCCCTACCCTTTATGCAATGACAGTCCATCACCAGCGAACTTTCAAGTATCTCTGACAGCTAGTTCAACGAAACTCAATCCATTCTCCTGGTTGGAGAGAGGCACTGAGAGAGAAAGAGAGAGTAATGTAGCCTGTTCACGAGCAAATATAGTTGTTTCCACAGTATACTCCAGCCTAGACCACTCATTCCCCTTCCGAAACATTCAAACATTAAGGGTGTGGCCAAGGCCGGAGCTCTTAGGTTTGTGCAACTTCACTGGCTTAAAAAAAAAAAAAATTGAAAACAAAGATCTGAATTTAAATTTTTAGCGAAACACCAAGAAACTGTACACCTTGTCTAGCTACCTTGTACTATTCATAAGTAAACAAATTAAACAGTCCTTGTTATCAAACTTGATTGAGACTTTCTAGATTAATAATTATAAACGTATTGGCAATTCGTTGCCATTACACAAATCTTGCCGTAACTCTTCCAGCAGTGTTAACAGTTATTGTGTCCGCGCCCCTGTCTGTTGTCAAAATCCCGTTCACGCTCATGCATCTTTTAATTTTAAGCTCCACGATTTATGACCATGCAACAACATGGAATCCGTCAAAAAATTTCAATGAGGCATTACTAAGGCACTCCTATAAATTATACCGGGAAATCTCATTCTCTAAGAAGAAAAGGAATTTGTAATCCATGTGGTACCTTATCGGAGTTATTCACCTCTTCCGCAATCAAACTTCTTTCCCGCGTTAGTTCTTCAGCTGACGCCGATACGGGACTGTTCACATGACCTTCAAGTTAGAAATAATTTCAGTAAAATAACCGAGAAATAAAAAGGCGTGCATTGATGGAGTACCGTTAAACCACAAGCAACGCAATTGTAACGTCCAATCACATGCAGCACAGGAAAATATTGAAGTAAATTTCTGCAACCGGTTCCAAGCTTTGGAAAACGCAAATGACAAATTCGCGATTGGTGTGAAATTAGTTTTGTATCTGACTGGTCTAAAATGTGGCGTAAGTTTTTTAGACCCCTCACAGCACGTGTGCAAATGAAAACCATTGCAAAACGGCAATACTTCTGACTTTTGTGAGTCAGTTTAATTTATCATCTGACAAAAATTCCTGTCTCGGAGCCACATGCCATCTCGTTACCTCTGAAAGGAGATGTTCTTTGTTCTGGCGTCCCTGGTCCAGTTTCATCAGCTAGAGAAAAACAGTGCTATCTTTTAGTGCATATGCATTTCCCACATTTTCCGTTAACTCAAAGAGAAATGCCAAATTTCTTGACATGGAAGCTCAGCATTATTAGATCGTAGAAGCCTATAGTTGTAGAGGAAAAAGGCACGGTCAATTTTATTACCGCTACTTTAAGGACCTTAAATAAGGATGCGCATTTTGGCTGCTTTGTATAATTTTACTAAAGTCTTTTTGCAGATTGTAGGTCTCCCGGAGGAACCACTCATCTTTTGCCAGTAGGAATAAACTCTAGCAAAAGTAAGTGATTATTTAACTCTCTCAATTATTTTGTAAGATTTCATGAAATGTCTACTATCAACGACCAATCACGATCTACATACCTTCTGTATCAAAATGCTCTTCATTCTCTCCCCTTTCCTCGTCACTAGTTCCCAGTCTCTCGTCAGGCGACGTACACCTATACCTTGGCTTGCCACATCTCTCACATATATCTCGACAAGCCTTACATGGTCCCCCTGGCCGCTGACACAAAGTACCGCACAAAGAACAAACGCCCTCGCACTCAGGAATGAAGGAAGAACACCGATAACAATTCATGCCTTTACATCCAACAGGGCTTTCTTGGCTGGTGTCTTTTTCGTGTTCCCTGCGTGTGTTAGTGGCTTGAAATTGTTGTTTGAAGAAGTTCATGTCGCTCTCGCTTAATTCGTCGTCGCCCCGGAAAGCGCGGGGTCTGGGACGGAAATGGGCCTCATCCGAGTCCGAATCTTGGGGAAGATATAAAATTTAATTTGAAAGTTGATAAAAAAAAAAATTCTGATGCACTAGTAGAACAATCTCAAGTGTCTTTTGACTGATTAGGAGGAGAGCGACTAGACTTTTAGATTTTGAAATGATGTTTAACCTTACTGATTAGTGTAGGTAATCGCATGGGGGCGAGTAAAATTAAGGATTAATATCATGCGTGTTTTCGGAAGTTGCTGAAATTGCCCGAGTCGCGCAGCGACGAGGGCACTTTCTGCAACTTCCGAAAACACAAGTGATATTAATCCTTAATTTTACGAGGAACCATGTGATTACTTGTTTATAATATAAGTTGCAAAATGTTTTCTTGCTGATCTCGGGCAAAACGGGACGCCATTGTTAAAAAACAAACAGAGATTTCTTTAACTTGGCAGCCGTTGCTAAGCGATTCTCAGCCAATCATTTTCAAGTAGTTTTTTCCGGGGAAATTACAAAAATTAAGAAAAAATCCTCTGTCTTGACCAATCACAATTCAGTAATTTTGCCCCTTATATGATAAATGTCTTTAACTGAGCAAATGCGCACCCACGCCTCCCCACCTTAACCCAACAACAGTCAACTGATATAAACTCAGGGTTAATGTTGAGTTAGGGGAGGGGTGGGTGCGTAGTAACATTGATTCAACCCTAGTGGGACACCCCCGCGCTGGACAACTACAAAAATGATTCTACGATAAAAGCGTTTTATCCATTTCTTAATTCTTCGAGTCAGAGCAGGAGACTCCAAATTCATCGTAGAATGAGACTTTCTCTATCATTCTGTCTCATTTTTAAACTAAATTCCACAGTTAGAGTTAACGTTCGCGGAAGGTGCAACAGAACCGCGCGAGAGTAAGCCAGACGGCTTTTTCCGGACTGCCTCTCGCCAATCCACCCAGGCCCACGCGTGTCATCTTCCTTTATGGTCTTTTTAGATATGAATGAAAGAAAGGTGGTCTTTTTTAGCACAAAGAGAGAACTGTACATTTGAAATCAATACCTGATCCGATTTTTGGAATGGGTTTAACTGTTGGTCTTTTAACTTGTCTGTCTTTAGGATGGTCCTCTCCGCCGATACTCCTCCGAGCTCCGCCCTCCAGAGGTCTTTCATTTTCAGGGCCCTTACGCTGTTCGGTAGTGCCAGGCTTGCTCTCATTTCTTCTTGCAGCATTTGTGACGGTTTTATCAGATCTCTTTCGGGTTCTGTCTGCATTTTCGTTGTTCGCTGGTTTTGTTTGGTTCCCAGGCTCCCACTGGGACTCGTCGCCACTTGACGTGCTTAAGTCGCTGAGCGGTTTGACATGTAGACTAAAATCACTGTCCCAGTCGCTATCCCATTCAGTACCATTTAAAAGCGTTCCGTCAAAGGAGTCGTTCTCAAGAGGTCTTTGAGAAGTAGAATCCTCTGTTGCTATGACAGGAGGTATGGGTTAAGAGTAACTAATGTCCATTCTTGACAGAATCATGCTCTGTTAATTAGTTTCAAATGAAACGGAATATTTCTTGTCCTATCAAATGACTTGGGGGAAAAGTGTATGATAACTTGTCGTAGAAATGTCGAAAACTGACCAAAGCTTTGCGTTGGTGGCGAAACCTGGTATTTAAATTGTTGAATGATCAACTTCTTTGACTTACTAGAAAACGGATCGCAACTTTTTGATCACTCCAGTGGGAATGATCGCTACTTGCGATAGGCTCTGACAACAAACCAAATTCTCCAAAGATCCACTCCAATGAACGCTCCAAATTACACAAGGAGAATTTCACTACTCACCTGCAATGCGCTCATCTTTTGCATTTTTTTCTATAGACTCCCTTCTCATCGTTTCTTGGCTTTCGTTTTTTCTCCGTTCTATTGTCTTAGCGTTATTCCGCGCTTGTTGAATCTGAGCCTGCAGTAAAGTCAAGTCGGCGTTCTCCTCACTGTCAGCAAGGTACCCATCATGCTGGGTGGGCGTTACGGACCAGGACGAGGGGCGATCCATTTTATCCTAATGAAAATACATAAACAAACTATTAAAGAAAAAAAACTTAGATCTTAATACCTTAACATGTCCCCCGCCCGGTAGTTATCGCCAAGAATGTACACGCATCTTTCTAATTTCGAACACTTTTGTCCAATCTAGGACAGTATTGTCCAGTTTGGAAATTTTGCACCATTTTCGCTTTGTAGCATTCATTTTCGCGCAGGACTGTCTGAATTCGGACTCTTATGTCCATTTTTTGGACAGAACTGTTCATTCTGGGACTCATATACGACTCATACGTATGTTTTCGGCCGCTACCGGAACTCACTCACTCTCGTTTCCAGATGCCTAGAAAAAGTTAGTTTGAAAAATGCTTATAAAAAGCGAAGGAAGATCATCAACAAAACATATATGAATACCGCAATAATCTAGGTTCGTCTACGCATGCTCCTCTACCTGATTTCCAAAATTACCAGGGGATGGCATTTTGGGTCTGAAAAGGCCGGAACCCGGAGAGTCTGGGCTCCAGGAATCATCTTCTTTAAACTCAAAGTCCGACAAAGAATTTTCACTGAATCTCGTTTCGGTAAAAACAATGACATCATTATCATCATCTTCGTCATTCGACGACTCTTCTAGTACAGGAGTGGCGCTGAACACTTTGTCTCGTTGATCCAAACCAACGACGTAGAACGAATCCGTTCTGGAAAGAAGTTTCTTATGGTGTTTGGTTCTTTGATTCGTTTCATCTTCTCGTTGTTTTTCGGAAAATGAGTTTTTCCTCAAAAGAGAATTTTCCTCGTGTTGGGTTTTTTGATTTGTTTCATTTTGCTGCCGTTTTCAGCTTTCGCTGGAGACAACATTTCCTCTTTTCTTTCGGGCCAGGGTTTGTTTATTTCTTTTAACTATTGCCCTTTTGTTGTGCTGAGTGTCAGTTGGAAAACCCTGTTTGTGATGTGTTTTTTTCTTTCCACTCTTGTCTAAAGACCTTTGATTCGAACCTTCCTCATCTCGGATCCCGCGAATGAAATAGCTTGTCTTTTCTGCTCCGCCAAATGGTTTTCTTCTAAATCTTACAGTAAATCCTGACTTCGGATCATAATCTTCTATCACTTCAAAATCGCTGTAAGCGTCTAGATCGTTATCAGTAGCTGAGCTCCTGTTTTCTTTTCCATCTTTTTCTCCGTTCTCATTTCCTTTTTCCCATTCTCCAACATCGTCCTCATTATCCCTGAAAATTTTTGCACGTGTGATCCCGTCATCCCACGCGCGGCGTACATCCGGCGGTTCGTTTAAGTCATCAATGTTCGCCCCAGGCTCTGTCATGAACACACTACTGCTTCCTGATTCTGAACGATTTCGCTTATAACCTTAGACAATGGTGTCCAAGTCGTCTTCTGTTTGACTCTGCCTGCTCATGTGAAGGCGAAAAGATTCCAGATCATCTCTCCAATCCATCGGCGAATTTGAATGCAAATCTGCAGGGTTATTTCCCGACGAAGGATGCACGACGCTCGATTTTTTAAAACGTCTATGATCCACAATAAATCTTGAATCTCCTCTATGAAGAGTATCTACAACACTTTCATGTAAATCTTTTTCTGCGAGTATTTGAGAGTTTGTAGTGGGAGCTCCACATTTGTGGCATTGTTTAGGAGTAGTAAGTATCGAACGAACCCGTCCGCGAGAATTTGTGACCTTCTCCACCACTTGCAAGTTTGCGTGACATGAGGCACAACTGTACGCTGAATCTACATCCGGGTCATACTGTCCAATAGAGGGTAGAACATCCAAAACCTGTCACGTGCAAACAGATTTTTAACATCACGGGAATTTCAGCAGGTTTTACGGCGCTCAATCGATATTTGCTATATCACGAATTTAATTGACTGTCTTATTCCCTTTTTAGGCCATTTCTCTTACGATCGCTCAAAACCAAAAGTTTTAAATAGGTAAAAGAGAAGTTAGCAACAAAGATGGACTGTAATCTTCTTGAAACACATTTTTTCAGGACTGAAAACGAAAGAATGGCATTTTGGTCACGATTTGAGGGGGAGGGGGGGAAAGAAGACAAAACTATCCTGAGAGAGGGTGGAAGGAGGGGAAGGGAAGAAAACTATCCCGTTAGCTGCGTGACTTTATGACTAAGAAAAAAAATTTGCAAAAAAATTCCACCTGGCGAAGTGTAAATCTGTTTACCTTCCAGCTGAGCCTGCGATATCCTCCGCCGACTCGTATGACAGGATTTACAGCGAACATTTCCTGAAAAAATGAACGTGGAAAGAAGGCTTTATCTTGTAATCATTTTAGCAACAATGGCTGTCCTTTTAATAATCATGAATTTTTCTGTGGAACTGAATTCACAGTACAGTGATTCCTGGCTATCGTGCCTTTTGCTTTTGTTATCGACTTTGGTTCATTGAAATTGTTTCTCTCCTTTTGTGAAAAAGGCCTCGTCGTATTCTAATTAATTTGCAAAATTTATCTGTCAGGCTATCCAAAAAAGGTTTTACAAGGTATGTAGGCTCATTTTACAACTTCTATTACGGGAGATCAATCTTGCTTTACAGGTTTCAACACTTACCCTGTCAGATCTCTGACATCTGAGGAGGCGAGGACACGGCGAGCTACATGTTGGTAAGGGAGCCTGGGTCTGGAGAAAAAATATACATCAGCCAGGGCGGATCCAGATATTTTCAAAAGGAGGGTTCAAACTGTGATTCAGAAAACATAGATATTTTTCTCCTTCTTTGACATACTAGCCTAAAATATGCCATGAAAAAGTTCAAGGGATGGGGGGGAGGGAAGGGAACCTTCGAATCTGCTATTGATCAAGTTGGTTGTCCTACGAGATAACAAAGTTCCATAGAGTTTGAACTGGGGACCATACATCTTACACCACCCAGTTATTCATTATTAATAATACTTTTTTGGCGTTTGTCTCTCCTACCATGTGACGCATTGCCGCCCGAATGTGAGACAGAACCCCTGTCACTTACCAATTTGTTCCTCTTGTCTCGATATTTTTGTTCCTCTGTTGTTCCAGAGAGGAGTTTCAGACTGAAAGGTGGTGGGTGAATGAAACTAATATACTTTGAAACATCTGTGCCGCGGCTTGTCTGCGAAGAAACGTTAAAAGAACAATAAGTTTGAAAAGCTTAAGTGAGGACAGTCATTCTTGATGGCACTTTCTTAACGATGGATGTGCAAAAGCTATTTGTTGTTAAAATTGCACAGGACATCTTCTCCACTGCAAGGTCCCTCTGCACCCGGAGACCTGGGTTTGAGGTTATGGTAGGAGCGGCAAATGTCTTCTTTAAGAAAGGGATCACTGCCCTTACCATTCGCTCCTTGCTACGTCATTTAACGTAATCCCACCATGCAGTCACATAAACTCACAGACAAACTACGATTTGACACAGGTGATTTAAAGCATTTCTAAGTACCACTGCATCTTACCAGTACCACGGGGTCCATTTTGGGAAGCCTGTCCACCACTTGGATGTGATTCCTGTGTAACCACTCGTTCACTAATTCCTCCTGACAAGGAGTGGTGTTGGGAGTGGCACAGCGATGGATTTGCCATTTGTTTAGTGGAGTTTGTAGTCTGTCTATCTGGTTTTCTTGGCTGGTTGTTGCCAGAGCTGAAAAAGAAAGTATTTTGGCGTCAAAAAAATTAAATACTTCTATTTAAACCTTCAACGTCTGTAGCTAAGGATTCGGTTCACCTTCCATTGTGATGATATTCATGATGCCGGAATCCGTGAAGTCTTTGATTGTTCGTAGCTCTAGATCTGTTTTTAAACTTGGCGCAAATAGTCAATACCCAATTAGAGACGATCTCGAAGTCGGCTTAGAACGTAAGTTTCTGGTCGGTTCCTGGCCTTTCTCCGTTTCGAGCTAATGCAAGAATTTTCAGTTCTAAAAAAGTATGATATATTTTTCAAAAACAATATATGTTATTATCGGGCATCATACTGTACTCATTAGCCGAAAAAAAGATGCGATTTAGGCCGGAAAAAAAAATGGTGCGATTCGTGAAAATGTCGCACCGCTAATGAGAACTAAGTTCTTAATAATCACCGACTGGATGTGATTGCCATGAATATTGTAAAAGTTTAACTCGAGACGAATACTTTTGACGTTCCGAAAAAGTGAGGCAAATTAAAAAGAGTTTGATACGATGAATATATGAAGTTCAGATATTTTTGAACTGCGGTTATAGATACGTATAATCTCTACTGCGAGGATCGTGCATTAAACGTAAAAAAAAGTTTGTTGTGGCCGGTTATGCTTTAATTTTATTTTCGGAGGGATGTTACTTAAACTGGTAACGTGGAACGGG